AGGAGAATCTTTTATTGAGTGCACTCAAGCCCAGCTGACTCAACGTCCAAATGACTGGGCCCGGAACAAAGTTTTATACACACTTCACAAAAGGGGGTGGGCCAGCTTGAAGCAAGCTTACAGTGGTGTGAAAGCAGGGATACAGAGGCAGGACAAAGACAGTTAATCAAATTGTAACAGGTTCATAACTCAAGATTGCACATAACCATTGCTATGCGACCCAGATGTCCATTATCGAGGTTTGCCTAGGCACAGGCTTATCCTATAACCTTTACTATGGCCCCCAGGTAGCCGCAACTCAGGCCTGCTTAGAGACTCATGACCTTCACGCTACTGCTTAGATAAAACAATACTTGAAGTCACTAGTTACAGAGAACAGGAATCTATAAACTCATTCCATTAAACAAAGGGAAATTTGTTTTTCTTATCCCTATGTTAAAGGAGTGCTGGGAGAGTCTTCAGAGCACATTAGATAATATTATCTAGACTTTTCCTGGGTCTGGGCTGTGCCTGTTACTGCCTCTGGGACAAGTCAGCCTAATACTTGAAAACTTATTTCTCTTTCTTTTTAATTTTATTTTTATTTAATTTCCCACCTCATATGTTGTGAGAAATGTGTCGTTAGGCAGTGGTCATTGTGAGAACATCATAGGGTGCACTTATAAAAACCTGAATAGTACAACTTACTGCACACTTAGACTATGCAGTATAGCCTATTGCTCCTAGGTTATAAACCTGCACAGCATTTTGCTGTACCACTTGAGTATCCCTAATTCAAACATTTAAAGTCTGAAATGCTCCAAAAGTCCAAAATGCACTCAAAACTTTTTGAGTGCCAACATGATGGTCAAAGGAAGTGCTCACTGGAGCAGTTCAGATTTTAGAGTTTGTGATTAGGGAGGCACACTGATATGATACACACATTCAGAAATCCAAAATCCAAAACACTTCTGCTCCCAAGTGTTTTGAATAAGGAATACTGAACTTGTACTAAATGCTGTAGGCAATTATAATATAATAGTAAGCATTTATGTATCTAATCATAGAAACGGTAGAGTAAAAATATGGTATTATAATTTTATGAGACCACTAGTATATGCAGTGTCATTGACCAAAACATCATTATGTGGCACACGTTTTTTCTGTATTTTTTTCTTGGTGTCTCGTTTTTTCCCTTCTTTTCAGTAAATCTAGTATTTTTCAGTACTCCATTTTATCTACTCTATTGACTTTTTAGCTGTAGCACTTTGTGTTATTTTTAGTGGTCATTCTAGAGATTACAATATGTACCTTGTGCCAGAGTATACCTTCAGATAATATTATTTCATGCTACTTTACCCCAATACAAGAACCTTACTCCGATATATTTCCATTTAGCCTCTCCTGCCTGTTATGATCTTATCTTGTAGCTAATTTATGCATATTCCATAAAACCCACAATACAGTATTCTTATTTGTGCTTTAAAAATCAATAGCTTTTTAAAGAATGTAGATACATATATGTTTGCATAGAAATTAAAAATGTTAAAAATTATTTTAATACTTAGATATTTAGATGTTTATAATTTCTAGTCTTCTTTCCTTTCTGCAAATCTAGTATTTCATCTGGTATCATTTTTGCTTAGTCTAAAACACTTTTTGTGGCATTCATTACAAGCTGATCCATTCGAGATGAATTCTCTCAGCTTTGCCTAAGAAGAAGATACTTATTTTACCTTCATTTTTGAAGGGTGTTTTTGGATATAGAATTCTAGGTTGGCAGGTTTCTGACCACTTTAAAGACTGTCATTCCATTGTTTCCCGTGAGGAGCCCCATGATTTGAATTGCTGTTCCCTATGTAAGATGTGGTTTTCTTGTGCTCATCCTGCTTGAGGGTTTCAGAGTGTATGATGGGGAAATTCCGACTATGCTGTCAACACAGGACACTTCAGTGATCAGCTGTCTGGCTTTTTCCTATACCAAGCAGTTCTCTGACACCAGCTGGGTATTCTACAATTCAATTCAGACATTGTCTGCCTGGAGTTAGCACAGACCCCAGGAGTTAAGAGCTTAGTGCAACAAGGCTGCCCCCATTCACCTCCGATGCCAATCACAAATCCAGTTGTCACCTGTGTTCTGACCAACCAGCTGTAAATCAGAGATTCCCACAACACATTCCATAGGTTTGATCACTAGAATGGCTCACAGAACTCAGAAATATTTACTTATGTTTACTAGTTTATTATGATAATAAAGGACATGATAAAGGGTACAGATGAACAGCCGGATGATGCATAGGGTGATATCTAGAAGGAAGGGTCCTGAGTGCAGGAGCTTGTGTCCCTGTGGAGTGAGGGTATATCACCCTCCTGGCACATAGATGTCTTCAGCAACCCAGAAGTTCTCCCAGCCTCATAGTTTAGGGGCATTTATGGAGGCTTCGTCACATAGGCATAGTCAAATATTAACTCAGTCTCCAGCCTCTCTCCCTTACCCTGAAAAGGGGGAATGTGGCCGAAAGCTCTAAGCCTCTCATCAGGGCTTGGTCCTTCTGGTGGCCAGCACCCATCCAGGATTCCATACACAGTTGCCTCATTAGAGCAAAAGACGCTTCTATAACTCAGGAAATTCCAAGGGCTTAGGAGGTCTATGTCAGGAATCAGGACCAAAGACCAAATATTAGTACAAAAGATGGACCTAACACCTCTGTCACTTGGGAAATTACAGAAGTTTCAGGAGCTATGTGCCAAGAATTGGGAGCAGAGACCAAATGATATATTTTTTTATTATGTCACATAGAGTTTCAGAGTAACATGCATCTATGAATTGATATATTTCATCAGTTCTCAGCCATTCTCTTCTCCATTTCCTCTGTCCTATTTTCTGTCTTTTATTCTATAATCAGTTATATTTAAGTTAGTATGTTTGATATATTCCTTCAGGTCTCAGATACATGCTCCTATATATTTTTTTCGTTCTCTTTTCTCCTTTGGTTTTGTTTTAGTTAGGACACTTTTTATTGACCTGTTTTCAGCCTTACTGGACCTTCCCTCCACTGCATCCAGTCTGTTGTTAAGATTGTTTCATTAATTCTTTGTGATATCAATATCTTTATTCCTGTATTTCCATTTGGTTCTGTTTCATAGTTTCTATTCCTCTGCTGAAACTCTGTCTTTTCACATGTGTTGTCCGTCTTTTGTTCTTATTGACCCTTTTCTCTTTTTTTTGAGACAGGGTCTCACTCTGTCACCCAGGCTGGAGTGCAGTGACATAATCATGGCTGAGTGCACCCTTGTCCTCCTGGGCTCAAGTGATCCTCAGCCTCCTGAGTAACTGAGACCACAGGCACATGCCACCATGCCTGGCTAATTTTTTATTTTTTGTAGAGATGGTATCCCAGTATGTTACCCAGCTGGTCTCAAACTCTTACGCTTAAGTGATCCTCTTGCTTTGGCCTCTCAAAGTGCTGGGATTGCAGGTGTGAGCCAACATGCCTGGACTGTTCTTGACCCTTTATCGTATTTCCTATAGTTATCTTAAAGTCTTCCTCTGATTGGTCCAATGTCTGGCACATCTTCTATAGAGTCTTTTCTCTCTTGCGCATGAGTCATATTTTCTTGCTTCTTTGTTATGTATTATAATTTTATTATATTGTAATTTTTTTATTGAGTTCTGTTAAAAAGGAAATGTTGAGACTGAACTAAATAGTATTTACTTCCAGAAGTGGTCATGCCACCTCTTACTCTGTCAGGCTACTCGTCCAGGGAGGCTCTGTCAATCAAATCTGTCACTGAGCTGCATTAAGACTTTGTTGCACCTGTGGTTAAACTTAAGACAACACTGCCTACAGCTCCATTGAGGGAGTGATAAAGACCTTCTCTTCCACAGGACTTGGGATCTCAGCACTTGAAGGATTCTAGAGATATATTTGTGCTTTACAACTGAGCCATCAGGTTTCTGGACTGTGGAAGATTTCCCTTGTTTTGCACCAAAGTCGACAGCATTTTTGGATCTCTGGGGAGCTTTCTTCACTCTCCAGTCTCAACTCTGGCTTTCCGTTTCCCTGAAGATCTCCCTTCATTCTGCAGCCCTTACTCACTTCTATCGTAGGTTGCTCCTCCTCCTGCCACTCACCTGGTGGTCTCTTCTTTCCTTTTTGCAATCATGTTCGTTTAGGTTTCTTTGCATCCTCAACATCCCAGTGGGTTTTAAAAAGCTATGAAGAGTGTTCAGTATATCCGGCTCATTTTGGTTGTTGAAGTGAAAGCTTCAACAGTCTCTTACAGCTTCCGCATCCTAACTTGAAGTGAAGGTCTTCCCCTGTATCTTTTTGTCCTGTCACTTATAAAGAGATTTATTTTTAACCCAGTTACTTCAGTAATTGCCTTAAAATGTTGATGATTTGATTGTTTTCCCTTTATTTTTTCTTAAATCAGTAAAGTAGAATGAGAAAGGACTTTGTTGATTACATATTTTAGGAGTGGGTAGTGGAGAAATCATTTTTCATTGCTTTTCTGCAGTAAATCCACAAAGGGATATACTCAAGAATATACAAAGGAATATACAATTACTCGAATGTATTATAATTCAAGTAATTATAATTATGTAGTCACAGCCTTATAAAGTATAGTGTGAAATAAATGCCACTTGTGTCAAAATGGTTTATAGGACAATAAAAATAATGACAGAAAAATAGGAAATAATTTAAATGTAAGAATAGTTTTAAGACCTGTTTATTTTGGGGGGAATGAGTTTAGTTAAGGTTATTTGGTATTTATTTGTCTGTCATGGCTTCTGTGGTACATAATCTCACCTATTTCTTTGAAAAACGAGTTTTTATCATGCCATTTCTAACGTGTCAGTTTTATCTAAGCAATCAATTTATATTACCATTTTTCTTGTATTAAATGTAGTGTTTAGACAAATGTCATACGAAGTCACACTGTAGCTCCCTTAGATAAACCTAGAAAGTAGATCAATTTCTGATTTTTCTTACCTTTGCTGAAAAACATATTTTCAGGTTCCAAAACATTTCTGAAAAGCTGCACATGGAATGCAAAGCAGAAATGGTGACGCCTCTGGTGACTAATCCTGGACACGTGTGCATCACGGACACAAACCTCTATTTTCAGCCTCTCAACGGCTACCCGGTGCGTGTACCTCAGGGTCAGGTGGGGAGCTGCCCATATTTAAGCTGTTTCCAGACCATGGCCTCACAATGCCTGTGACCTCACTTTTTGATGAGGATCAAAAGTCACGTCCCCGCCCACCCCCTTCACAGGCAGCATCTGTGTATTTGACAAACACTGTGTGTAATTGTGGTGTGGAGTCTCTGAGGTTTGAGTTCCTCTGATCTGTTTTCAGTCATGTTAGGGGCACTTGCTCTCAGGGTGGTGAAAAGAAACCCTGCTCCTCCCGATTTTAGTAAAAGGTCGCTAGAGATTTAGACCTTTCTTCATGGAGGCATTTCTGAGAGACCAGTGAAATGTGCTATGGTTAATAAGAAATGGATTTTGAAATATATTTGCTTATATGAACACAGATGTTGGTATTTCTTGCTTCTACTTAATGATGAACAACCTCAGTAGATCTGAATTTTTCCTGAAGGAGCACTGTGAGGAGGTCCTCCCGGCTAGTGCAGAGGTGTGTGTGTGGAGATCCGGCCGTCTGACAGTTGTGGGCTCCTGCTAGGGTGTTGGAAACAATCTTCTCTTTCACAATGACACCAGACTTACAAGGCCAGAAAGTAAAGATGAACTTAGATTTCCATGTGGAAACTTGTAAAGATTTGTTGCTTATCTAGATCTGGCCACTTTTTAGCACGATCCATTAACAGAACAGAAATCCTAACACACCCTGGTAGTGCTGTGGGGCCATTTGGCAGGGCCCAGGAATCAGGAGTGTTTTCTGCCAGAGAAAGTTCCACCTTGGAGGTTGTCCAGGCTGGTCATTACAGGGCACTAAAGCATCTCAAACTCTCCTGAGTGAAAGTTTATGCTATAGCGATTCTGTCCACTAGGTGGTGGGGCTCACTTTCCTTGCTCTCCAGCAGACACTGCATGCTGCTGGCACAGCATTCTCGGGGAGTGTAATAAATTGGCTTGGCTGCTACTATTGCTTGGGTCAGAAATTTTGAAAAAAAAAAAAATGTCCGTGTACCCTAGCTTCACAATCCATGATATGGGCCTTTACCCCTTCCCAATACTGGCCAGGATCCTTGACCAGTCATTTACAAGACTTGACTCTGGGCCTCCAGGGCAGTTTCCACTATTGGACAGACTGACTTCTGTGCACCCATCATCCCTCCCACTTGGGAGGAGGACCACAGAAGCATAGCCATTAGCCAATCTCTGCCTTATTAAACCTCCTTTCTCTCTTGCTAATGTTTTAAAATTATAGAAAAGCAAGACAATTTTCTTCTTCATTAACAAAGAAAAAATTTAGAGGCCTTGCTTTATACTTTAGTAATTTGTGAGCCTTAATACACTGTAATTTTTAGTGAGATAAAAGACAGGATTCTTTAAAAAAAGATGTGTGTCAGTTCTAAGCAAACTATTTGTAAAAAAAAAAGATAGCAAGATTCCTGAGAGGTTATTTATGCCAGTTCTTTATATTTCTTATCATCCCACAATCTAATCTAAAAGATATCACCCCACCCAAACTAACCTGAAAGATCCCTGAAAGATAGGTGATTGCATTCTCATCTGGCGGGTGCCACGTGGCGGGGAGGAAGACTTGCCCAAGGTCATAAAGCTAGTGAAAGATGACAGAGGAGAATGGGAAACGAGATATCACCTTGTTCCAAGATTTCCTTTTCCAGTGGTTCATTAGGAAGGCGAGATTTGTTGATTTTTTTCCCCCTTTCTGATACTACGGAACAACTTCTAATTGTGTCAGAACATTAATGTTTGAGATTGTCTTTCTACTTTTAAAGAAACCTGTGGTCCAAATAACACTCCAAGATGTCCGGCGCATCTACAAAAGGAGGCACGGCCTCATGCCTCTGGTGAGTCCTTGGGAGGCTGTGCTGGGGGATGATTGCCACACCTACAGTTTAGCAAGCAGTTTATTGACAGTAAACACCTATGGGATGTCTGAAAGTACAAGTACATTGCCTTGTAAGAACTTAGACTCTGATTTTGCTGTTCTTTCTTTTGGAGAAGCTAGAAATTCATAAAGGAATAAGTCCTTCATGGAGAGAAGAGGTTCTATTATGAAATATTTTTGGCTCCAAGAGCAAGAGGGCTAGCGTGCCCTTGAGTTTCTCACTCCAGCATCCTCAGTTTCTGGGCTCAGGCTAGAATGGTCTGTGTAAAACCAGCCCTGTGCTGTACTTGCCTCCAGCATTCATAGCAGCTAGGTCTCAAAGCAAAATTTGGAAGATATTACAAAATTACTTCTTTATTGGAACTAGTATATTCACAGTTAACTTACATTAATTCAGCCTTTGGGCTTGCTGAGAGAGAGAAATGGACAAAATAATCGTTTAAATCATATAGGCAGTTCTTTCCACCATTCCCTGAATAAGTGTATTTCTATACTTAGGTGTTTCTAACACGTCTTACTTTAGTAACCAATCCCTACAGAAGGTATGATTCCAAGGTGTTTTAATTTGACACCAATAGAAATTCATTTTTTCTCCTTTGAAGATTAACCAGTAACTTGGTGACATTACAAAAGCATTGTGAAATTTTAACTCTTATTTTTGTGCTTTTAATTTGTGAAATTCTACTGTTTTGCTGCCTGTTTTACTTAAAAGGCCATTCCTCCATTTCCAGCACTAATAGTGGATCAGGGAAACAGATACTATTAAAAATCTCCTCCTTTGGGTATAGAGCTGCAGTCAGAAAAAGAGAAGAAATTAACATTGATTAAGTGCTTTCTATGTACTAGGCAATTTATGTATAATGTTTCATTTATTTGCCATTGTTAAGTCTTATGAAGTAGATAGTTGGAGACTCCAGGGGTTAACTTCCTAAGCTCCCAGCGTGTACATGGTGAAAGCCTGTATTTGCACCAAGGGCAACTCTGGGCTTTCATCCTGGCTTTGTCTGTTCCTTTGCTAGCTCAGCCTTACCAATACTATTGTCACAAAGCTCATAGGTTTTTATAAGATAATAATAATGTATTAATTGAATGGGTTATTCAATTATCAATTTGTTAGGTATGCATAATTTTTATTTCTTAGCTGGGCATGGTGCACCTGTAGCCTAGCTACTCAAGAGGCTGAGGTGGGAGTATCAGTTGAGCCAGGGAGTTTGAGGCTGCAATGAGCCATGATCACACCATTGTGCTCCAGCCTGGGCAACAGAGCAGGACCTGGTCTCAAAAATATATATATGTTATTTAACTTATGAAAGAAAACTAAACATTTATGTTTGAAGAAGAGATGTGAAGACATGGATCGGCGATTTTTGAATTTCAAAATAATAAGTTCACAAAAGCTATTATTAATGAAAATATTCAACACCCAAGGTGATTTACAAAGTTTAGCTGAGATACTATCTTGTTCTCAGAACATTTATAAACACAACATATATATATATACACGCAACCATATATGTGTATATATGTCACTGAGTTAAATTTATAGATTAAAAATAGGAATATAAGATATAAAAATAAACACAAATGTTTAACTGAAAGTTTTTGTAATTATATACTTATATTGGGATTGCAAGAGGAATACAATGCTATTTATTTTATTCTTTTCTTTTTGAATTTATAGGGCTTGGAAGTATTTTGCACAGAAGACGATCTGTGTTCCGACATCTACCTAAAGTTCTATGAACCTCAAGATAGAGATGATCTCTATTTTTACATTGCCACATACCTAGGTTTGGCACTCACCCTTCATTGTTTCTTTTTTTTTTTTTTTTTTGAGACTGAGTCTCGCTCTGTCACCCAGGCTGGAGTGCAATGGTGCGATCTCGGCTCACAGCAAACTTTGTCTCCTGGGTTCAAGTGATCTCGTGCCTCAGCCTCCCGAGTAGCTGGGACTACAGATGCCTGCCCCCACGCCAGGCTAATTTTTTTTGTATTTTTAGTAGAGACAGGGTTTCTGTTCATAAGAAGGTAGTTCAACTCCTAAGGATCTGGGATAGGAAATAAGAGAAGAAGAATGCTATTTCTAGAATCGTCTGTTTGTGGTTCTAATTTCTTCTCATCAGTAACTATAATTGCCAAAGTAATGTTTTTAAAATTCTGGGAAATATAAATTCACTTTGGTAATAGTTCATTCTGAATGTATGTTTTAAAAACTCTAGATAAATATATTTAAATACTCTTATATTCTAACGTCCTCCACATTGAATGGATTTTGAAGAATCCACTCAAATATTTTTATGTTCAATCAGGTCTTATATTAGTTTATGAGAATCAAGACTCAGTTTTGTACTGCGAGGCAGTGAGTTATTCATACGTTTGTGATCATTGATTGTGGTCAGAACCACAAAGCTGAAAGACTGCAAAAGGAACATGTGAACCTTCTATGCTTAATATGCTGACTTTGGAGTGGAATTTGCTTTTAATTAATGGTATTTCCTCAGTTTTTCATGAAAAATGTGATTTTTCCCACCTTTGCCAGAGAAAATACTTACATTATGATGTTCAAGCCCAAAGTTTTTTTATTACATTGCAAGGCTAAATTAAATTATTCTACTTTACAAAGTTGCTAGATAACTGGAATGGAATTATCTTTAAAAATGGATTTTGGGGCTAGGCGTGGTGGCTTATGACTGTAATCCCAGCACTTTGGAGGCTGAGGAGGGAGAATCTCTTGAGCCCAGGAGTTCGAGACAGCCTGGGCAACATGGTTTGACCTCATGTCTACAAAAAAAATTAAAAATTAGCTGGGCCTGGTGACGTGTGCCTGTAGTCCCAGCTACTCGAGAGGCTGAAGTGGGAGGATTCCTTGAGCCTGGGAGGTCAAAGCTGCAGTGAACAGTGATCATACCCCTGTAATTCAGCCTGGGTGACAGTGAGACCCTGTCAAAAAAAAAAAAAAAAAAAAAGGATAATGGGATTTTATTAATATCATCTTAATATGTTTGTTATTTTAGTGTACCACAAAACCATTTATGAAGTTTGTAGTAAAGTATATCTTCCCTTAGAAATGAGATTTTCCTTCAAGGAGGAATAGTTGACTTTCAGTAGGGAACATATTTTATTTTAAAGTAGGTTTATATATCGCTAGTATTTTGTTCATACATTAAGCTATTCAAGGTAACTTTATGTATAAGTATAGCTTTGATACAAGTTTAATCTTCTGTCTCGTGATCTAAGTTTTTAAATTTTTTTTTTTTAACTATAACAAGATTACAATAAAAAGCTCAAAAGCTCAACTTTCATGGTGAGTCCTAAAATCTCAAGCCAAAAACTTTGCCATGATCTAAAATATCCATCTTCTAAGAAGCTGTCAGTTCTCACTGAGTTTATTCCTAAGATTGCTGAGAGGTTTCAAAAGTAGAAAATGAGGGGGAAGTGTGTTTTGATTTTTGAAACCTTTCCTAGTAGCTGATTAGAGAAGAGACTTGGTAAAAGTAAATGAGAATAAATATTAAGAGTTAAGATGCTTAATGCATCAGGAAAGCTTGAAAGAAGAATTTTCTGAACCAAATGGAAAATCTACTTGTAGGACAATTAATTCATTTTACACTCTAAAAGGGAAATTCTCATTGCTGCATTTACCTAAGATCTCATTTTTCGTGAGGTGTTTTGGGGGGCAGGTCTGGTTCTTTTAGTTTGAGAATTGGTCCTCCTGCCAAATGGCTGTTTTCTTCTTTAACAATTTCTTTTCTTTTCCTTACTCTTCACATGCATAAATAATATATAGTCATTGACAAATTAACAGTAGTACATCTCTTCCAGGCCTAAAAGAAAACTAAATGATTGCTTTAATTTCGTAAATAATAAAAGAAATAAGCTCCTAGATGACCATGGGTTTTTAAATGCATGGAGATATAGCACATTTGGAGGGATTCTTTGTTGCTGGATAAACATTGCCTATTAACATGTAAATTTATATATTTGCTCTACACTTTTGTATTTGTTTAGGTTATATCATATTGTGGAGGGTAGGGTAATAGCTCAGTGTATTTAATAATTTCCCCTCCTTGATCTTGGAACTATTTATACATAGCTGAACAAATACTTTATGAAAACAAGTCAGCAGCCTACTTTTCTCTTTCTTATAATGTATTTTTCAAGAATGCACAGGAAGGGTCTACACGTTAAGCCCCTAGCTTTTGCATACTAAGTTTGGGAAGTTAAGTGGCAGACCTCGTGGGTCCTCTTCCCCCAGAGCACCATGTGGCGGAGCACACTGCTGAGAGCTACATGCTGCAGTGGCAGCGTGGACACCTTTCCAACTATCAGTACCTCCTTCACCTCAACAACCTGGCCGACCGCAGCTGCAACGACCTCTCCCAGTACCCTGTGTTTCCATGGATAATACACGATTATTCCAGCTCAGAACTAGGTAACTGCTACACATGGAATTCTGGCCAAGTTGAGTGGGGAAGTGGTCGTCTGTATTGTTTTTAAAGGAGAGAATAAATTCTATTTTATAATCGTGATGTGACATGTGAACAAATTACAACACATTTCAGTTGTATTGCTAAGGACTGCCAATTTCCATTCCAAGGTACTATATGAGTGTTATATAAGTGTTTCATGTATGTTTTTTCCACCATACTTCTTGAAGGACACACAGAGAAAAAAACGGGCATAATTTTAATCCAGGATTATCATTATTACCTATAAGTACCATGTTTTGAAGTATTTGCTTCTCACTTTGAAAATTGCTACTCACCTTATCATATATTTTTTTTAAATCACATTAAAAACTGTGGTTATTTATTATAGAACACTTGGAAAGTCCTGAAATAATCAAAGAAGAAAATAAAAATCATCCATAATTATATTACAGAGATATAACCATTTTACCTTTGGGGCATGTCTACTCTTGCTACCTCAGATTATTTTAAGAAAAATGTAATTGTATTGTAACTTTATTTTGTAATATTTAAAAATTATATATTGTGAACAGTTAGTTCATTTTGACACATTATCTTGAAACTTTGTACTTGAAAGAAATAATAGATTTTCTAGAAATATGAGAATGTATTTCTCTGAAAATATTTAGCTTACTAGTTCTCAAATAGGCTAATATTGCAGAATAATAATATTCACTAGAATTCTAATGTAGAAGGTAAATCTTGATAGAAGAATAATGGCTTCTAAAATTTGTTTTTTTGTTGTTGTTGTTTTACTTGGAATATATGTATGTTCCTTATTCAGAAACTTTTTAAAAAAATTAATGTTCAGGGCATTGTCAAATTAGAGATGTTGCTCTTAAGTGGTTGTGGCTAACTTAAAACTCAAAATTGCTAACCTTTTCTTTACATCTATATAAATAACTAAAAAAAATATAACTCTCATAGATCGCTCTCAATTTTTAAAAACACTTTTGTGGAAGTAAATGTGTATTTTTGAATTAATTCAGGAGTTTAATGGTACTAAGTATAAGCTGAAGTTATTTATTGATTTATGTTTATAGATTTGTCAAATCCAGGAACCTTCCGGGATCTTAGTAAGCCAGTGGGGGCCCTAAATAAGGAACGGCTGGAGAGGCTACTGGTACGTGGACTTAGAGATTCTTCATTTCTAAGCAAGATGAGAAGCCATGGCCTGTGTTTTTCTTTAAGGAAGGAAATTCGTTTCTCCACGGTTTAGGGGAATTACACCAGTGACTCTACATAGTGTTTTCTTACTTTTCTCCTAACCATGAATTAACTGCTCACCATTTGCATTTCTTGTCTACAGTTTAGGAAGGAGGAGGGCGACCTGTTTACAGGTTCACTGAACTATTTTCATGAAGGCATTCTGTGGTACATTGCATAAGAGACATATAAAATCAGTTCTATTTAATCTACTGCCAACATTTTGTTACCATTAAGCCAGGGAAACCAAAATACTTGTCTCAGCAATGCTGTTTAGCCAAAGATTCTCTTTCCCTCTTATCTTCTCCTTTTCTTATCTAACAGACAAATTAAGGAATATGGTATATCTATGTTATGATTTCTTTTAGGCTTTTACTACTTGTCAGTTATTATTTCATAGCCAACACTTAGCACTATTTTTTTTTTTTTTTTTTTTCTGTATTCTAGACACGCTACCAGGAAATGCCTGAACCAAAGTTCATGTATGGGAGTCACTACTCTTCCCCGGGTTATGTACTTTTTTATCTTGTTAGGATTGGTAAGATTCTTTATCATTACCCCCCAATTAAATTTTATTTTACTGTATTCTTCAATGGTTCTGTGATCTGACTTACCTCTGTTTTTTTCCCCTCTAGCACCAGAGTATATGCTGTGCCTACAGAATGGAAGGTTTGATAACGCAGATAGAATGTTCAACAGGTTTGATACAAATGACTTGCTTATGATTTTTAACACTTTCTGATTGTATATATACAACATACTTGTTTCAAAGCACTAGATAAAAAATTTAAAGAAATGTAAAAAATCAATAATTGTTCTATCTATTCCTCTCAGGCTTTTTCTAGACATGAATATGTGTGTGTAAATGTGAGAACATATTTTAAGTGCAGCTTTTTGTCCTGCCTTTTGTAACCTAATATTAAATCTTAAAGTTTTTCCCATATTATTAGATATTCTTCAAAACAGTGATTCTTTTTTAAAATTATTGTATCACATTCTAACACATGCGATGTTTTATTTCAACTTCTTTTCTCCATTGTTGGGCATTTAGATCGTTTCCCACACTTTATTATTCTTGATAATTTTGCTGTGAATTGAATATAGCTCCTTGTGTGTATTTAAATGGCTTTACTTTTTAAATTATAAAAGTAATATTTTCTTACCAAAAAAATCAGAAAATACGAAGAAGGAAATAAGTTTACTTGGTATCCCACCGCAATGAGATAATAATTGTTGTTAATTTTTTGGTATGTCCTTTTCATCTTTTTTGAACTCTATACGTATTTAATAATAATTCCTTTTGCAATGAGCATTCAGATAGTGAGGCTAATCTTTTTTTTTTCTTTTTTTTTTGAGACAGAGTCTTGCTCTGTCGCCCAGGCTGGAGTGCAGTGGCGTGATCTTGGCTCACTGCAACCTCT